ATAGATTGTTGTGTGTCGCTTGTATTCCACATGACAATACAAATATACTACATGACTTAATTGTTGCATATTTGGCTTATTCTGTAATGATGCAACTGCAGCCTGAACTCATGTTACAACATGCTTTATTGCAGCAGGAGGAGTTGCTTTCACAAGTTATTTGTATTCCTCTAAACATCAAGTGATTATTTGTATTCCTCTAAACATCAAATGAACTAAAAAATTCCAAGATAGATAAAGGCTCACCAGCTTCAATTGCCTTCCAGACTTTTCTAAATTCCCTAGGGACTAATTCCAGTTCTTATTCTCCAGGCCTCTCTATTATTAACCACTTTGGTTTCTTGGGAATTTCCTACCTTGGTTCTGAGAAACTACAATGGAGAACTTTCTCATACTCTTCTGACAATTTCTACTCTGGCTACCCACTATTGCTATACAAATGTTGAGACATTCTTTCAGAGTTTAGACCTATTTTTCTAATCTTTCTTTTTATGATCTACCACTCAGAGTCCATTTCTCCCCTAATATCAACTGACACTTCCAGTCAGGGTTAAAATCTTTAACCCTAAATTCTGCCATAAACCCTACACCTTGGATGCCTTGAAATTACTTCATGACTCAAACCCAGCCCATTATCTTTCTTCTAAAAATTAGTTCTTGATTTTATATCCCCTCTTTTATTCCAACATTTTCTTGATAGTCTGGCCTCAGAACTATTATCAAGTTGTTACTTCTCTTTCTTTGCTATATGGCTGATTGCTTATCAACTATATTGTCAACTGTCCTTTCAGTTGTCCTTAATAACTTTCTCCTTCCTCTCCTTTTACTTGCTTTTCTTACCCTAAGTCAGGGCTTTATCAAATGTTTGGGTTAATACCATGATCCCTTAATTGTGTGGCTGGCCTTCAGTTCCACTCTCTGGCTGTTAGAGAATGTGTCATGTGATTGGGGGAGAATTGTCCTGGCTGCAGAAACAGATAACATTTTTCTTAACCCTGCTTCAGTACCACCAACATGTCAGATGCCTTGGCCTAAAATCCCAGCATAGCATGAATCAAACTTCCAGATGTGGGAAGGGTGAGGAGGGGGTCAACTGGGAAGGAGGAAGGAGTTAGACAAAGAATAGGAGTAGTGAGAGAAGAGAGACAGACTACTCCTGGTCCTTATTCTTGTCAGCTTTCACATTCAGTAAATGGGTACTTCAGAGACACAATGGCAGCCATTATCTTGGTCCTCTGGTTGATTCAGCTTATACAGATATATATACCCTCCTTCTTGTCTAGCTCTTTGGGACCTGCCTAAACCTAACAGCACTTGTTGTTCCTGCCAAAATGTGCCTTGGACTTGTTCTCCTGGCAGCTCTGGGAACTACTGACCATCTAGACACTTGCACAGGAGGGGAGGGGTGATTTCAGAGTTTAACTGGGACTCTGTTACTTGAAATCGTTTCTTTCTCTTTGTCTCTCTCCTTCCCTTCCTACCTCCCCCTTTTAACTTCTCACCAACTAAAATCTTGGAGCACTCTGAGACTGCTTACTTTGTCTTTAATGTGGATTAATAGGCAACAATACAATAGGCAACATAGGTTTTTCTCTTAGCAATTTGGGGTCCCTTGCACCCCTCAGTTTTGCCCAGCAGCACCTCCATTCTATACTGGAAAAAAAAACAGATTTAATCTTTTCTAACACTTCTTTGGTATTATTACTCAGGATTTGAGTGACTATCATTGTCTCCTATTGGCAGCTCTCTCTAGCACTAAACCATTGACATCCTTGTCTCAACCTATATTTCCAGCCAAAGTATGCTATTCGTTGTCCCTATTAACATGCCTTTCATATTTGCACCTCTGAGACTTTCCTTTTGGGCCATCTGCAGTGCCAGCAATTGTAATTCAGACCTCTTAAAAAATAATTTTGCTATATGGATGAAAGGTGTTAGCAATGCAAGAAATAAGAGGGAAATCTATCACAAAGCTTTGCTGTTTGGCTCATGTATCTTCTTCATACTGCCACATTAGGGGAGCTAGAATGTTAGTAGGAAAAACTTGCAGAACAAGAGATAGCTCTTTAAATCTCTCTGGCTGACTCAAACCTCTGCAGTGTATTTTTCTAACACCTTCCCAATTTTTGCTTACTTTCTACCATAATTCAAATCCTATTTGTCTGGAAAATACCTCTTCATCAAGTCAACTTCCAGGGTTTATGTATTTTTATATAAAACCTTTTACACCATTTGCTAGTGTTTCCTCATGTGTATGAGTTTTAACCTCATAATGACCTTATGAGGTTTGTTGACAATTGAGCTACAATTTGAACTTAACTGAGTAATACTGTACCTCAAGACTCATAGAAAAGAAAAAGGAAAAGGAGGAGGCAAGGTAGAGAAGATAGAAGAGGTAGAAAAAGAGGAAGGCAAGGAAGGAAGACAAAATGAAAAAGGAGGAGGAGGACAAGAGAGGGAAGAAGAATGTCCATAGAAGTAGGACCTTTCCACAAATCATCAACTTTTAAGGATTTTTCAATGTCCACACTTCCCTAGATGAGAACAATGCCAGTTGAAGTTCACATTTCTGGCCAGTTGCTCTGCCAGAGCCCAGGCAACAAAGGTTATGTAACTCCCCACCTTGTTTTTCATTACTAAAAATAAGTGTCTAAATTGTTGAAAGTGTAGGTTTATATCTATATACTTACATATGAATACATTTATAACATAGAGTTTATTATCTACATGATATCATCTTTACTCACTTTCTAAAATACCTTTTAGAGGGGAAAGTGAAAAGACTTCAGCTGGTATAAGGCAACTCTTAATTTTATCTTAAGTCCTGAGGGTCAGAGTTACTATGCCAGTAATGGTTGTAGTAACTACAAATGCAATCATATATTAATACTGTGAAAAGTAATAATGTGCATGCCCCATAAAAAATCTTGGTATTTTTTTCACTTGAATATTACCTATCATATTGAAATAAAATATTTAAGCCTAGTTGTTTCATGTCAGTGACTGCACAGATGGTATATGGTAGGAACTGGAAATCATCTACTTCATCCATTCTTTGTCTAGAAGGGAGAATGAGTCCTAAGGCATTAGGGACAAAGCAGGACCGGAATTGGTGTTTCTGGTTCCTAGCTCAGAACTCCTTCCAAAACCCCATCAAGAGAAGCAGTTTTCCTAGTGGCCAGAAGAAAAGCAAAGGCAGAGCAATCTGAGCAGAACTCTTCACAGATCTTGAAAGAATAGCTTTTGATTCTTCTCACTAAAGTCTGAGCTTCTCCTGATGGAGAGGGCCCTGATTGACTTCCCTGGAACCACCAGAATATCCTGTGATTTTTCAATACCATTATAGATTGTGATTTCACCACAACCACTAAGGCATGCAGATAGGCAGAATGACTAAGAATTACCCAGAAATTCATTAAAAATTATCTAGAAATCAAGAAATTCAGCTGAATTGATCATTTCACTATAAATGCCTTTTCCATTCATGTTCCAAAGCTTTGTTAGAAGCCACACTTTTGATGATAAAAGATAGCTACAATGAACATCCTCCTCTTGAAAACTCTAGCAAAAACAAAAAAGTATATAAGGAATAGAGAACAGAGATGAAATGAAAAGTCATGCAGGCATAGACAGTAAGATATTTATACCCAAACCAAAAGTGAATCTAAAGAGGTGGCATGGTTGTTTGAACACAGTCATGAAAAAGTCACCACTATGATCTGAACAAAGAAGTGCCTTATACGTGTGTTCTCAGTAAATAATGTATTGAGTTATTCATTTTTGGCAATGCACAACATACCTTTCTAAATAAACTCTTTCATGCCTTCCCTGACTAGATATAAAGAAGTTCAAATTTCCCTAATACTAAAGCCTCCAAGATCTTACTTTTTCAGAAAATGTATTTCTTCTCCCGAAGAACCCAAGAGATGGGGGAGTCTTATCCAGATTGACTAATGTCTTGTGTGCGGTTTGAGATATCTGTGGAAATCTTCTGGGAGATATTCTTGTGTTTCAATTGCTGTTGTAAATGGATCTCTTTTCACTTCTTGTGGAAATTCTTGCTTCAACATGTACCCCTTGCTTAAACCATTCCAAGATGGTGACTTCCCTATTCCATTTGCAGCCCATCCATTATGCTTGTCCCTAATCAATGGAAAGTTCTTTCTTATTTTGGGCCAAAGAAAACAGCCAAATTAATATTTCAGTTTTTCCAGTGAAGGAAGGATCACCTGAGAATCAGTTGTCTCAACTCCTGAGTATGAGGCTAAGTTGCCATGCATGAAGGTACTTACTCACTTGTCCACTCAATACCTGTTAAAATACAAAGTGCTTTGTGCTAGTTTGGAAGAGAGAAGTGTAACTTGATTGTAATCTAATTATACCTTAACATGCCAGCAATGAGTCAACTGTTAAAGCTAAAGGTAAATAACATAATTGAAGCAGAAGTAATAAACAAAGTCACTTTGGGAAGACTTGTTCTCTTGTGTTGAATGTATAAGAATGTTAGGCCATTTAAGGAGATAGCTATGGTGCAATGCAATTTTTTTTTAAGCTCATGAAGAAATTAAGATAGAAGAAAAGTAAGATTAGAAAAAAAATAAGAGGAGATCAGGCATAAGAGTAGAATTCTCAAAGTAGCTATGAAGTTCTATTCATGGAAAGTGCATACATGTCTCTGTGGCAAGGGAAAGAATGGCCAGATCCAGGAAAGATTGACAGGCCACACTAAGCAAGAATTTACCTTATAAATAATGAGAGTTAAATGTTTTAAGCTGGAGTGATATGATCAGATTTGATTATTCAGTATCAGGAAGTTATGCCTACTAAGTAAAGAGATCATTCCATTCAGTAACCAAATATTAGCCAAGTAACTACATATGACAGACACCATTCTAGTAGCTGAAGGCATATTAGTAAGCAAAACAGACAGATTCATATCCTTTTAATGCTTATATTCTATGGAAGAATATAGTAAACAAGTACATTACATTGCATGCTAGATGGTAACGAATGCTTTGGAGAAGAGAATTAGAAATGCTGGAGATGTGGCCCTATTGCAGTTTTTCACAGGGCAGTCTCATGAGAAGAGCAAAGAAAGTATCCAGGTAGAAGAAATGCACACTGGCAAAGGGTCTGCTGTTGGGAAGATGGCTCTGGAGGAGAAGTGAACAGCCCAGAAGTGGGCTTAGGGATTCAAGCATCCCAAGATCCCAGACTGTGATGAGTGTTGAGGAGAAGCCAAAGGACTTGTCTTGATTCCACAAGCACCTTACATTGCAGGGAGGAGCATGGTGATGTGGGATCCTCTAAAGTATGGGGACTTAAGACAGAAGCCCTTCTTGCCTGGGCTAGTGGAAGGATGCTAGATTTTACTCTCAGTGAAATATTGAGCCATCAGAAGATTGTGAGCTGATATCAACTGTAGAAATAAAAGATTAGGATCATAGAGTCCAGTTATCAAGCTGTTGCAGAAATCATCATAAGAGATGATAATGGCTCGGGTTGATAGGAGATCAGTGGGGTGGTCAGATTCTAGAACTATTTAAAAAAAGATCCTAATGGATTTATTGCTGAATTAGGTGCAGCTAAGAAAATAAATGAATTCAGTATGATACCAATGTATGTATCCACCACTCTGACCAGTGGCAGATGAAGGAGAGAAAAATGAAACTAGAAGGTAAAAATGGCAGTGAGGAAACTTCAATGTATTAAGAGAAATGACAAGACATTGAATTAAGACAGAAGGGTGAAAAGAAGTTATGTGAGAAAGAGGTATTATCGAAGATTTAAAATTAATAGGACTAGGGCATGGACTGGATTTGCAAGATAAGAGATGAGTAAGTTTAAGAGGACTTCCAAGATACTTGCTTTGAGTATAATTATTGGTATTATAGGAAAATGAGGCACGGTTTTCATAAACTGTCCAAGATCTTAGAGGCTCAACATTTGTAGACCCAGGATTTGAACCTGGATGTGTCTGAGATTAGAGCATGCACTCTTAATTATTGCTCTGCTCATATTATTCCTAGGAGAAAGAAAACTGCTAGTTAAAAGCACCTTTGTGAGACTGTCTCTCAGAGGTGCAACAAGCCAATGTGCAGGGAAAGTCCCCTTAGACGGGCAAGGAAGGGAAGTTAAAGCCATGGTGAGTGAAATAGGAGTTCTGTCTGTTGTCAGGATTACATGTTAAATACCATCCTTTTGTGGTCTAGAAACAAGAATGCTGAGCAAGTACCAGGACTTCAAGTGCAGTTCAAGACAATGAACTTCTACATATATCTGCTTTTTTGAGAAGGGAGAGTGTCTTCAAGTTTAGCTAAGATGTGCTGGAAGCATTTTCCCTATAAATAGAACTTGATTCAGTTCCCAGTTTTATCTACTATCCCCAACATAAAAACAAGAATAGAGTCTGTTGTGGGTTTCATATTCTTTCTTTATTTCTTTTCTCCCTTTAATAGCACTGTTCTCTAAATTGTTTTTCTGTTGTCTTCTCATCCTTAATTCCTATTTTCTCTTAAACCCACTGATACTGCACTTATCAGGTTGTTGTATCCTCCATATTGCTAGGTCCAATTCTCAAGAGCATCTGGCTCTGCTGGTCACCCTCTCCTTGCAGCATGGTATTTTAAACTCTAGGTTTTGTTATTATTTAGACCTGGTGTGGCCTCTAGATGACTGCCATTAAAAAAGAGTTTTTTATACACAGATATTCCAAGATAAGGGTGCATGTCACATACAGAGGGTTAAACAGAACATTAAGGTCAGACAGGAGGTAGAGGAAGCAGGGACAGGAGACTTATTCAAAATTAAATTAATCTGTGGTTCAAAATTAAGTTAAAACATTTATGCCTCAAATGACACAAGAACTGAAAACAAAACTCAGAATGGGAGAATTTACAAATCATATATTTGATAGTTTGGCTTTTACCAAAAAATTTAAACATTAAGTTACTACTTAACCAAGTAATTTTACTCCTACAGACATACCCAAGAAAACTGGAAATATGTGCACACAAAACCTTATTCATGAGTGTTTGCAGAAGCATTATTTATAATAGCCAACAAATATAAAAACATAGAAATAACCAAAATGCCCATCAACTGATAAATGGAATGTTTAAAATGTAGTATATTCATACAATGGAATATCATCCCACCTAGAATTTAAGTACTGATATGTGCTATAACATAGATGAAACTTTTTCAAGGTTTTAAAGAAGTTAAACACAAAAGGCCACATATTCTATGATTTCATTTATATAAATATATGAAATAAGCAAATAGATAGTGATAGAAAGTGATTACTGGTTGTCAGAGCCTGGGGGACTAGAGAAGGAAGGGGAATTGGAGGGTTTCTGGTAATAGATATAGAGTTCCTTTTTTGGGGTGAGGAATGCATGAGTCAGGCACCCTGAGCAAACTTCCAACCTAAAGCAGGAACTGCAATTTTCTGAAGTCTGTGCAAAGCAGGCTCCCTGCCCCTTCCCCTTCTTTTAAGTAAGAACCATGAAAAGCTAAAATTCTGTTGTTAAATGGAAAAATGGTACAAAATTAAATTAAAGAGAAAGCTAACTTGGGCGGTAATGCAAATGATTTGTTTTATGTCCTAAAGATATGACAGGTGCCTTCTTGCAAATAAAATGTAAAGTTCCCTCAAGAACTTTCAGGACCGCACTAGCATTACTCAAGCCAGGTGCTTTACAATCTCTAAAGAAACTGCATGTATGAATTTTTCATATCATAATCAAGTTCTTTACCCTTTAAATTAATCAAGTGCCCAAAATTATGGGAAAACCTTCTTGTAATTAGTAGAAACTTCCTACTTTTCTTCTTTGGCTTGTAACTTCAGGAGTTCAATGCTAGGTTGAAAGTAATTTGATAACCACATAGGGTAAAAAATAGAAAATAAATGTTCCTTAGCATAGTTTTCAAGAGTAGATCTATTTCATTCACAGATGTGGCATACACACTACAAAGAATATATAGATTTCTCTTATAGGTATTTATAGTGTAAGCCTTTAAGACACAGAGATACGAATTTGAAGTTCAGCTCCCTGAGCAACCACTGTGAATCATTCCAACCTTTACATCTTTAAATAAAAAAGTAAATAAAATTCAGATTCTGCTTCTCCAGGTCTAGAGAGGCACCTGAGCTGTGCTTTCCTAACTTGCCCCCAGATGAAACTGAGGACACTTTAAATGGCAGGATGATGAAAAATGTTTGCAAGTTTCATTGTCTAACTCATGGATGTCAATACTCTGCAGGTTGGAAACTTCTGGGAAAATTCTCATAAAAGAACTACAATTTAATTTGAAAGGATCCAAAGTTGTGCCTGAGCATTCGTATTTTTTAAAAGTCTTCCAGATGGTTCCAAGGACATTCAGGCTGAGGCCCTCTGCTTTGTGATTCTCCTGTGCAGCCAGGCTTGAGAAAACTGCTCAGAATTATTTGCAAGGATTTTTACTTCCCCTATAATATATAGTAAGACTATTTTAGGATTTCAAAAGTGCATTGCATTTCCTAGACCACTCATTTTATATGAACTAATTAAGTTCAAAATTTTTCTTTAACATGTGTTTATTCTCTATCCATTTGTGAACGTGGGCAGTGGGGATCCCCATACCTAACAGAGGCATCTTGCCCTGTGTGTAAGAAAAAACATTCTTTTTTCTGTACATGTTTGAGCACTTTTCTGTCTGGTAATTTGAGTTGTGTGAGATAGATGTGAAAAGTGTGAAAATGAATGCATTATCCTGCCCCAGGATGCAGATCACCATCTGTGTAATGATTAGTTTGCATGAAAACAAATGTATTTATTTATGAATAGGTAACATTTGGAGAAAAAAAAACAACTTTGCATGTTTTGGCAACTTTAAATAGGATGAAACCAGACCAAATAATAATTAGTTTTATAATTCTGAACCGCTCAGATGCATAATTCACACATGCTAAATGCTCTTTCCTCTTGTGAACATTAGCTGAAAAGTATCACCTGCATGAGAGCTCACATACTTTATGCCTATAAACACTGTACAGATACCTTGTACAAAGCAGAAGGAAAAAGCAAGTAGAAAATGGATTTTTATGAAAGGCCCAGACAGTAAAGAGGGGAGTTCTGCTGTATGATTTGGGGAGTTCCAGAGGAAGTTACAGGCGTTCTCTCTCTCATGAGAAGAAAACACAAGTGTGGTAAACATATTTGCTAAATAAATGCAACAGAGGCTACATCTAAGATCTTCAAACCAATTTTGCTTCAGTCTAAACAACAGCCATATTTGCAAACCCCATCTCTCTTCCTAATTTTCTATCTTATCATAAATAAGAAAAGGAATTCTGAAGAGAGTAAAAGTAATGTAAATCCCTGAATCTGGCAGTCTAGAAGGTGATTAATACATATTTGATGGATGAATAATAAATATTATTCTTGTTCTTCTTCTTCTTATTATTATTATTATTATTATTTATAATTCTGAGCCACTCAGATGCATGATTCATGCTAAATGCTCTTTCCTCTTGTGAACATTAGCTGAAAAGTGTTAGAGTGGGTTTGCTAGCAGGTCTTAGCTCTAAGAGGAATTAATATCTGAAGTATTTGTAGCTTATTCCCATTGTAAAAGTACTTATCCTTAAGAGATGTTACAATTATTCAGTGGATTCCACAAAAACAGTCACATGAAAATTTGGGAAGCAGATATCTTTTTTCCCGTGTATCATTTCTGAGTCTTCTTAACCTGGCAAAAAAAAAAAGTGCAGGTGTGATTAGCATTGTTGTACTTAGAAGCAGCTGTGTTAGAGCCTTGCACCATTCCCATCCTGCACAAAAGAAAGCCAGGCAGATGTGAACTCCTTTCTATACAACAGTTCTCTTTAAAAAGCACATTAATATTCTAGTCATGGTTAAACCAGGTCAGATGCAAGATACAAACTCATCAATAATTTTTTATAAATTTCAAGTTTATGTATCATACTGTCAATAGTGTTTTATGGACATTAAGAGTGCTAATTTGTGTGCTTTTGGGCGAGATGATTCCTTTGATGAGGAAACAAAAATTGAATTGAGTCAGGGCCACCGGCTTGCTAAACACTTAGAGGAATTTAGTATGAGCAAGGCACTGGAGACACCAAAACATACTCAGTGCGGTCACTGCCTTCTTGCAGGCTAGTCAG